AATATAAAAAAAACAAGAATTAAACTAATAAAGGAACAATAGGAAAACATGAGGGTAGAAGAAATAAATTTAAATAAAAGCAGAATCAATGGGGGTAGATCATACTTCCCTACTCCATCAAGATTAATCAATAAAACCAAAGGCTGTTCTCAGAAAAATAAAGCATTCTTTAGTAAATTTAACATTGAAAGAGAAAAGGCACATAAAAAGTAACATTAAATGTAGAAGAAATTAAAAATTATATGAATTCTGCTTTTAGATAGGGTCTAGCTGAATTGCTGAGGCTGACCTCAAACTTGGGATCCTCCTGCCTTAGCTTCCTGAGTAACTGGGATTACATGTGTACTTGGTGACTATATATGTGTATTTTTCTATGTGAATTTATTTGCAAATGTAAGCAAAATTTTGACTTTTTCCTACAAATTAGCACAGTTGCTCCTAGAAAAACAAACACATAAATAAACAATAATTATTAGAGAAACTAAAAAGATAATCAAAGATCTACCCTTAATATAGGCCCAGGCCTTATTTTCTCTTAAATGCATTTAAAACTATGAGGGGAGAGAATGTATTAGGTAAATTAATCAAGATAATGATCAATTAAAATATCTGCAGATCTTTTTTTTTTTGGGGGGGGAAGGGGGTGAAGATTGATGTCTTAATTCTCCACTGATATTGTAAAGTAATGACAGCAACAGGAAGGTTAAGTGAAATAATCCATATAAGGCAAATAATTAAGGGATTGAAAAAATAAGGTCTAATTGTTATTATATACATAATATAGATTTCACAGAAGGAGCAAAGATAAGAAGTTGCAACTCAAGAAACTAGTAAGTAAAAGGTTAAGGTTTGAATTCTAGCTGGGGGTGATGGCACACACCTATAATTCCAGCAGCTCTGGAGGCTGAGGCAGAAGGATCATGAGTTCAAAGCCAGCCTTGGCCATTTAATGGGGCTCTAAGTGAGACCCTGTCTCCAAGGTAAAGTACAAAAAAGGGCTGGGAATGTGGCTCTGTGGTTAAATGTCCCTGGGTTCAATCCTTTGTTAAAAAAAAAAAAAAATGAATTCTAGTATATTATAATCAAAGCTTGTGAAATTCTAAGATGTGGTTGAATTAAAGTTAGAAAATGATTATTTTCCAAAATAAGTGTGGTATTTGTAAACCTGTTTATGTAAATGCCTGTTTCTTCTACTCAAGGTCTTTCTCTGCCTGTCTAGAAATGGACTTCGGAGTCACAGCTGGGTTAGGATAAGTGCTGTTTCACTGGAGACCTTCCTTGCTTCCTTGAAATTAAATTGTATTCTTAGCAAATACCACATTTGGGGAATTTTATTTTTCCAGAAGGCCTGAGTCAATTATTTCTAGCTCTTCTTAGAGATTTTCCTTGTCCATTAACTCCCATATCATGTCAAGCAATCTTTCCCTGTAACATATGCACCCTCTCCACAATTTATACTTTTTTATTCTTTTTAAGTCTTAAGGGTAAGGAGTAGTATGTGCCTAAAGTAATATGGAAATGGAAAAAAAACAGACTGAAAGATGAGTTTCTTACCCTTCAAGGGTTCTGATCCCATATTTAGAAACAAAACAAGAAATGAGGTTTAAAGGAGACAGCAATTTTATTGGCTCCTATTTTACTGCAAATGTGCATTAGCAAGTCTATATCCCAAACCCCCCAAAGACCTCATGGAGTACCAGATTTTCAACTTACTAAGGTTTTCTTTGTTTTTGTGGGGATTGGGAGAGAACAAC